CTTCAAGTGCATCTTCATCAGCAGGTGTAGTTTCACCAAGAGATGTCGCTGAAAGTTAATTCTAAGTTACAAGAAATTATATCAAACAACGCAGACCTGTAAATGTGACATAACAATTTAAGTAAATGTACCTTATTCACAGGGAATTAATTTCCAAGTGAAAAATGTAAAAAGAATTTTTTATAAATTTTAAATAAACACTATATTTAATAAATATGTGTTCACCAAAGCAGTAATTATAGATAAATATAAAGGATTTAATGCTGGGTTTACACATTGGTACATACATAGTAAGTATTTAAATACCAAATGTGTTTGCCTATAAGCATATGTGGTTTAAAACATAATTATTCCAAGTTCAATTATTCAGTGTAAGGAAAAGGTCACATGACAGAAGATTATATTAATTCTTGTTTCTTTGCATTCATTTGCAACTGAAATTTTTGATTCATAAAATTTTTCCAAATGACGTATTTCCCAGTATCCCCCTTCTTTATTTTTCCTCCATTTTCCTGTTTGATTTCTCATTTTTCATTGACATTTCACGTGACATATGAGCCTGTCATGTCTCACTCTCTTCATTATACAGAAAATTAAAGAAGAAAGCATGTATATCACACCACTGGAAAATGTTACTGTAGTTTTCCTCCCATTAAAGTTTAACCTCAACACCGAGCTATGTATGTGTGTGTGTGTGTGTGTTGACACTGCTGCAGCAGGTGCTTTCTGTCAAGTTTGCACAGAGGAAAGTGCAGTTTGGAGACTTTTCCACTGAAGCCAGACCAACGTAGACTCCAGCCTTCAAGTATCCAATACAGAAATGCATTGCCTTCACCAAAAGCCATCTGTTTTTCTTTGAAATTGTCAACTCTTCCACTGTAAGGGATCAAGAACGCATTGCTGGTCAACAACAAATGTCAGCCTTCTATGTAATGGTGTGGAAATTCCTGTTCATTAGGTAATAACTTGATAGTTTTACATGAGGAAGTCTAACATCATATTTTTTGATTTCACTCTCCTGCTCTCCTGAGGGAGCCTGGCCCTTAAGATTTTAATGATTTTAATTTTCTTATAGTACCACATTCAGGACATACTTCACCTTTAAAGAGTTTTCGTTTGTTTGTTTGTTTGTTTAATGTAACATGTAGCATAATGCCTAATCCGCTCTCCAGAGTTTTAGGAATGTATATGCTGTCCTTGTGTTTGGAGTCCTTGCTTCATATTATATTTCTTCGCCAGCTCTAGATTTCCTTTTTTTATTTTTTCCAGACCAGGACAATAATCAAAAACGACAAACAGAAATTGCAGAAATCCGACTAACACGAGATGAAATGTTACAATTTACAGAGTTAGTAAACTGACAGTTTATTTTTTCTCTCTGCAGCATCAGACTTGTCCCTACTGTTTACAACTGCATGACAAACCTGTGCATGTGTGTGTGAGTGAGAGAGAATATGAGACTAAAAGTGTGTCTGTCTCATCTCTTGACCCAGAAATTCCCTTCTTTCTATTTTTCTTCTTCCTGTGTAATCAGTACACTACACACACACACATGCACACGCAAATGAACGCACTTCACGCTGATCAACAACACTGCAGATGAAAACTACTCAGTACTTCTTCCTCTGTCTCCTTCACTGGCATTTTCTTATTCTATTTCTATTTTTATTTCAATAACATATATAAACTTCTTATCTGGGGCTCCTACTCCTGCTGTTATACTCTAGAGTACCTGGGGCTGATTACTGAGAGCACACACACATTCACAGACTCAGTTCTACACCAACTTAAAAATAGCTGGAATTTATTGAAACATTTTTTTTGCAACATGTTTCTCTGATGAAACACATGCACAATATGTTGGATGCTCTCTTGCTGTCTGTTGTTGGTCCAGAGTTTCTTTGGTGTGTGGCTAGGCCTTTCTTTATTTATGACATAGGAAAACGATACTGTTTTAATACTGGTACTGAAACATAGGTATTATATTGACATCAGTACAGTAGAATACCAGGCCCTGATTGCATCCTTTGCATGTTTCATTTGCTTTACCACAAATACATCACTGTGTTTTCCAAATAATCTGGCACGTTTTAGCTTGATTTCCCTTCTTCAAGGCAGCCATTACATTGAACCTATTGTATACTCAGGGTTATATTATGTCAAAGTTACATTATCACCATAAAATAATGCAGGACCTATAAAATCATAGCGTTACATTCAGTAATGTCAGACACAATAATGAGCCACTGTATATGACAATTTGGTAATTTGGATGATTTAAATGTGGTTATTCTGGTATTCACTAACCAAATGTTTGATTTGGGAGGGTCCTTTAATGCACCAACAAGGTGTTTTTAAAACAATATCTTATTCTGTTTTGTTGCCGTAACATAATACAGTTACAGTGAGAACAGTGACCATTCAGATCACCCTCCCTCTTTATGCATTCAAGGCCACTCTGACATCTGAGTTGGCTGCTGAGCAGTAACTTTTCAGAATCAGCTTTTTTTAAGGTGAGATTTTTAAAAAAATCACAACAATATTTATTGTGTGCTTTTCACAGCAACTATGTGTGTGTGTGTGTGTTGTTGTTGTCTCTCAAATCACAGATGTCAGAGTGTCCTTGAACATACCTGTGACAAAAATCAAAACAAATGGGAACACTTTGACAAGATCATCTTAACTCACAGTTTTATTAGTCTTTTCCACAGTTTTCAAATACATTTCATGGCTGCAGCTGACAATAGCAACCGATTTAACTTACTGTATAATAAAGTCAAAACAATTTACTGATTTCACTGACTGTCCAGTCAGATGCCTTGAACCTCAGGGATTGTGGATAAGTAGGCAAAGCAACTACACATATTTGATCTAAACGAGTAATAATAGATCAGTGTATATGGAATTTGTTTATGTTTTTCTCCTCTGTCCGGCTCCTCATCTTCCCTCCTTATTGAACTAAATTAAGACGAGTGAAGGAAGGCTTGTTAAAATATAAAAGCCCTGCATTAAAAATGTACACCATCCTCTCCGTCTGCCTCTCTGCTGCCATTTTACATTTGGGAATCCAGGCAGTGATGAAAGGCAGAGAACGGAAAGAAAAGACAGAAAGAAAGACGAGAGACAAATAATAAATAAGGGAGCAAACAGATGTATGGACGAATAGGCAGAAGATACTCAGTTTGAAACACACACACACACGCATGCATGCCAACTAGCCAGTCGACATTTTGTGATATTTGCATGGAGCGGGAGGGGAGTTTGGCATGTGGTGGGCAAGACCTCTCTGTCAGCCAGCTGGATTAACAAACAGACTGAGGGATTAGATTTTTCAAAACAGCATCACACTGTGGTTACAATGCAGTACATCAAAAAACATATAGTATATATGACAGTTCAACAATGTATATATAAATTTTTTGGATTAAAAAGTAAAATCATTCCACTTGTCACACTGACGCTGTCACCATCAAAACAGATTGGACTGATGGCATTGTCAACAATTTTCCATCTCATTCTCCCTAAACCTGAATGAAAAGTCAGGGGTGTGGCTGTAGAAAGAAGTGAGCTCACCAGATGTCTACAGCCAGCTCCTCATCTCTGCTCAAGGCTAGCAGCTCTGGGCTACATTAGTCGCTACTAACTTAACACACCTTCAGACCAAACTGTCAGCAGTCCAGTTGCATTGTGAGTAGTCACCAGGCTTTGAGAGGAATTAAAAAAAAAATCTCTGGCTCTGCTGCACTAGTTTTGATTAGTTGTTTTTTCTTTTTCTTTTTTACTGTCCACCATGAATCTGATTGTTATACTACAATGCCAGGTCAGTAGAATACATTGTGAAGAATGGGGACATCTTCATAGTGTACCAGAGCAATTCAGCCTGATTATCATGCTACACACCTGTCCCCATTACCATTCAGCTTAGTACTGTTCAGAACTTTCACACAGTATTTATATATTACCTTACTGTTTACTGTATACAGATCTAACTGTCTCTCATGAGTCATATCAAACAACTGTTCTGCTGATATGTTCACAGTAAAGCCAAGCTCAGGAGAAGCAGGGTGAGAGATAACCATAGGATGCCACAAGAAAATTGGCATCTCCCTCACACACACACACACACACACACACACACAAAGCAAACCCATCTCGTGCCAAAACAGTGTGTCCCTGCTGGAAGCTGCTCGGTGTTCTGGGAATTAAAAATCCCACAATTAAACATATGGGCATTAAGATAATTGTCAGTTGTTGTGCTGTTGTGTGTGTGTGTGTGTGTGGCAGGCAGATGGACAGGATTCAGCCAAGCACACTCACAAACACATGCACACACACGAGTACATCCTTACAGTACTTCCCTGATACACACATGTTCTACATGTTCTAAAAAAAACGTATAAATATACATGTCTGAGATGAAGATACAGTATGAGCCTAGACTAAGCCACATGCACACTCATAGACCACACATACACAGGCAAGCACAGGCAGTTTGCTGTAGAGCACATTTTGCCTACCTGAGCTGTGCTGTAAAGGAAAAAACACATCGGGAGCAATGGTGTGTGCATGTGTGTGAGAGAGAGACAGAGAGGGAGAAAGACAGATGGAGATTCTTGGTGTCTTAGAAAGGCAGAGCGTGCCCTCAGCAGGCCAAAGGCAGAACTACAACATCTGGGAATGAAAAAGAAATGACAACTCACAATCCTGCAGTGTTAGGTCTATGGTGTCACATTGGTTTGTTATGTTGAAGATGCACCACAAATAAACAGTGAAACATTTTATAGTCATAAACAAATAAATCCTTGAATAATCCAAACAACTACTGAGAATGCTGTACTTTGGGGCACATTAGAAATTGATTAGGTATTTTTTAAAACCGTTGTGAAAGTTTACAAAACTGGTGGAAGATGAATTCTGAGTGAGAGTTTAGAATCTGAGCATCTGTTTGTTCACCTAAGAATCTCTCACACATTGTTGTCTCTCTCCTTTCTGTTTTCTAGGTGGGCTCTCACAGAGAAGACGGCAGCGGTGTGGGCGGTTTGCGCGGTGGACACTCGATGGCGGGGCAGGGGCCTGTGCCTCAGCTGCCTGTTCAGTCGGCCACATCGCCAGACCTCAGCCAGCCTGACCCGTACCGTGGTAAGACCCAGCATGCTTCGAACAGCACTTACGCAGATGTACTGAGAATGTGACATCCACAAATCCCAGAACGTATGAGTCAAAAGCAAGAAGGGTTCTGCAAAGGAACATTCTCCTTCGAATATTACTAGCTTGGTTACTTCAAATACTACAATTCAAAAGTATGCCAGCAAGCATCTACATTTATGTGTGTGTGTCTGTTTTGTACCATATTTCATATTTAGTGAACAACAACCAGAGAAAAACAGACACTTACAGTCATTGGTGGACAAACTATTTTGACATCTGTTGTTTTTAGTCATGCGTGTATACATGTTTCCACGTAGGCAGGCATCCCATCATGCACTTGGGCGCACGCACGTACACACACAAACGGAACATTTCCAACCCCACATAGTAATAATGATAATAGAAGAAAAATGATAATGAAGGAGCAAAAGAAGAGATGGAGGAGAAGAGTTGAAAGAGAGTGAGAGTGAAATTAAAAGAAGTAGAGTCAAATAAAAAGGTAATAAAAACAAAAGAAAATAGGATGAAGATAAAAAAGATGATAAAGATGAAGAAAAAGAAGCAAAAAACCAAAAGAAACAAAACAGCAATAAGGAAAACAAACATAAAAAATAAGGTGAAGATGAGGAAACTATCCCAGAATGCAAACCAGAACACTGAGAAACACATGGAGTCAGATCTCAGCTGGGGAGCCTTGAACGCCCGAGTGGTAAAATACATACAGAGGAGCGTAAATAAATCTACAGAATGTGTGATATGAATATGGAGGAGGAAAAGTATACACGAGCACACTGTGGAGCAAATTAGCTCTGAGCTTTTTTTTAAAGGCTGAAAATGAGTTTGCTGGCACCCCAGCCAAGTATGCAATGAGGTGAGAGAAACACACACACAGAGGAAGTTGTTCTTCACTCCTGAATCCCTTCGTAACTCTCTCTCTCTCTCATACACACACACAGAGCTGACGGTGTGTAGAGCCTGTAAATAAAGGTTATTAAAATGTTTTTGGCAACAGACACAAATACGTTGGCAGAGCCAATGTCTCTCAATTTCAAAACATTTATGAACATTAATTATATATTGACAGAATGTTATGTTTATTTATATACTTTATGCTCACTTTCTCCCTCTATCATACAGATTTTATCTCTCTTGAGCAGGTTGGGTAATTAATTTTTTTTTATATAGCGTCCACTATTTAGGGTGTGTGAGAATAGCATCTGTGTGTATTGTAACACTGTGCTGCTCATACTAAGCTGCTTGAGAACACAGTTTCATGGCCTTTAATGGTTTGCAGATTCAAGCAACAACTCCATTTCCTACATGCAATGCATTGTGGGACAGTAGTTCATTAACAGCCTATGCAAAACAAGCTAATCCCTAAGTGTGTTCTGTAAACTTAATTTTGTCATTTTTCCATTTGAGAATGATTCAGACTTAAAACACGCTTAGAGTTAGTCTGTGGTCCGGCATTGGGCTGGAAACTGGGAAAGCTGCATTAATTAAAACTGAGGCGTGTCCCCAAAATTTAGTGTCCAGTGTCCATTTGTGTCTGCCTGGATTCAGTCAGACGTTCACAAGCACAAAGTTACTTTTGAGTTTTAAATCGAATTAAATGCAGCTATTTTGCACAAACACACAGGGATTGCATGGAGATGCATGCACACACAAATCAAACACAGGCCATCGCTCAAAGCTGCACACAAAATGCCTCCAGTCAAGCAGACAAAGATTCAAAATGGCTGACTGTGTGTGTGTGTGTGTGTGTGTGTGTGTGTGTGTGTGGGAACAGAGCAGAGTGTTTTGTGTTGACTGAGATGTTGGCAACGTCTCAGTAATGGATCCATACAGGCGTCAAATAAAGACTGCACTGTTCAACTGAGGAGAGAGGCAGACAGAGGGTACAGAGGCTGTGCGTTACAACCCTCCCATGCCGCCATTGTAGAGGTCGACTGGAGAATTAGCTCCGTTCAAACAGGCTTGATGCTGCATTCACGCTATGTCAGCAGAATGGGAAGAACGGAAAACTTTACATATTCTGACTTTGTAGCACTTTTTGGGATTGCTAGTCTGCCCATTTTTAATGAAGTGCGGATTTAGTAAAAAAAAATTCCAAGCCATAACATTTAGTATTATTATTATTTCATTTTACTGTCACCTTATTTACATGTTTATTCTCGGACGTGAAGCCTCAGTTTTCCTCAGAGCTGCCTTGTTCTGGGACCTCCTCTGTAGTAGTTATTCTAACATGCCCTAAAAGGTAAATGACAAAATATGTCATTGATTTAGTTGTATAAGTCTCTGATTTGTCTCTGCTACCATGTGGTAATAATGGTTTAGTGAGTTAGGCAACTAAAACTACTTGGTTAAGGTGAGACAAAGGCTGTGATAATGGTTGACAGAAACTTTCAGTCACAACAAGCTTCTCCCAAAAATGTTTCACTCATGTTGGCTTATCAGGAAAACCTAAACCTAGGTTGGTTTGAAGTGTCAGGATAAATAACCTTTGTTGTCAGTTACAGGAAGATTCTGAATATATCCCTCAAACTGGAACATTTTGACTTACAGTAACAGCTTATGACATTTTGTGGTACAATAACATCATGCTACTTATCACTGAGAGAGGTCAGTGATTTGCACAATGTTTTATGGACATTCTCAGGCAGGGCGGACTATCTCAAGTCAGTTCAAGGCATTTTTATTATGATGTTTGTCTCAAAAGGCTTTAAAGCATATGAGATCCTCTGTCCTTAGGACTATGGACTTAGGGCTTAGGACTTGCACTGGAAAAGAACAGTTCAGATGATGTGTGGTCCAAACCTTTTGGAAGGTAAGGTGTTTCCACTTATTTTGATAGGCTACACATGATGCTGGAGTGAAATCCTACTATCACAGAGTGAGGTGAGACACAATATCATTTAAATGCAACAATAACAGCAAAACATTTCAGGGGTGTTTACGAACCAGTTTGACCAGCCAGCGTGCAGTCGGATGAAGTATACCTCAGTTTGGATAAGGAAACGTCCCCTCAGAAAGGAAGCAAACTCAGACATGCAACAGATGTTGGGTGTAGAAAGCACACAGAAAAATAACTATTAAAATGACTGTCGGTATCATCTAACCTGTCCCCTGCATTCTGTTCTCACAGCTCTTTCTGGAGGCCTGCAGGGCCAGAGCACGTCCTCTGTCAGCTCGGAGATCAAGTCTGAGGACGAGGGGGATGAGAACCTCCTGCAGGACACAAAGCCCCTGGACCTCAAGAAGGAGGACGCTGACAACAAGGAGCTTAAAGCTATTGAGAGGTCAAGATCTAGGTAACCCCGCCTACCGCTCAGACGTTCGCTTCCATCAAAACCCTCAGCTGGGCTGGGACATGAACTTTCCCAAAACCCCTCCATGCTCACAGACCTTCCTTGTTTCTCATGTCATCGATAAACAAAAATCTCTCCAGGAGTTAGAAACAGTTCAAGATGTTACACTTGAATTGGATTTTATAAAAACTGAAATGACAATCTGTAGCTCTTTTTTTGCCACAGCCATGAGGAAAGCATTGACATGTGATCCTTAAGCATTTTCATAGAATAGCTGGCTGTTCTAAGTAAATATAAACAGTATTTGTAGTTTTTGGAGAGAAAGGACACAAGGAAGGACTTTAAGCACTGAGTGTTTCGGGAACCAGCCTCTGGACTTTGATGAAGTGATCAAGTGTGATGAGAAACAGCTAAATACTGTTAGTACAGAGACAAAAGCTCCTTGTCCACAAGGCATCCTTTGGGAGAGAATCGGAGGTTCCTGGTGGACATAGAACTCCTGGTTAATCCTGTTAGTCTATCCATGGTCTTGAGCCTGGTTTTAACTGTTTCTCACACAGCAGAGTAGAGCCCATGATCAATATTCTCAAAGAAGTGTTGCTTTGCTTTCACGGCTGGGAAATAAACACCGACAGAAACACTGATTTCTGCTCTTGGCGAGAAATGGCAAGCCTTCAAGAGACAGTTTTTAACATGTTTTAAAGGAGCAAAAGGAAAGGAATCATACTATGAGGTTTGAATTTGAAAACCTAGAAACATCAAATGTGTCTCTTGGCTTTGGAAACAATTGATTTCCCATCCTGGATGCAGCTGAGCAGCCTTCACCCCTCCAACATTAAACAAACTGTTTATCAGGTTTAATTTGAACCTGGGGGATGACTGGAATCAGAAACATTTGAATCCCAATCCCAGAAATAAATACAAGATGGTGGCGGTCATAATGATGTTGAAGATGATGCAAATGCTTTTCATGATAAAGGTATGAAACATAGATGAAAAACGTTGCCCATGCTGTGGTACAGGGTCTGGGAACATGCTGTCATTTAATCCAGCAAACTTGCTGCTTAGCTACACTTCACTATGCTTTCCACTTTCTTGACTGTATGTCAGCTGTATGGGGCAGCTTCCCCACGTGAATGTGATCAGGGCATCCCCATAAGTAAAGCTTTAAAAAAAAGTCTGACAAATGTCTTCAAGTAGCTTCAGGGTTGGGCCTGAAAAATGCAAGTACGAAAAGTAAAAAAAATCTGGTATTGTGGAATTAGAAAGAAGTCAGTTTACCAGACCTGGGTAGCTTGCTCCTCATCTCTGCTGAGGCTAGAAGCTGCATTAGCCCCCACTAGTATAACATGCAATACTCTTAAGACCGAAGTGCTGGCAATGGATTTGCATTGTGGGTAATCAAACATTCCCTCCTGTGCTCATTTTCCGAGTGTGTATCCTCCTGGTTCAGTTACTTACTGTATACTTTCAGTCAAAAAACTGTAATGAACTCAAAAATATCTTTATGTAAACATGAATCGTGGCAGACTAGCCCTTGAAATACCCAGAATGCAGCTCAGCATGATGTTTGTTCCCAACCCGTGTTCCTTGCTATTTTGTCACTTGTCAAGTCAGTCATGTTGTACAAACATACAGCATCTCCTGCAGGTTCGCATTAGAATGAGATTTTACATAGAAATAAAAACTAAGCTTTCATCCTCAAATCCCTCCCTGCCCCCCCTTTCTCCTCCTCGTCCTCAACATTGGTCACCATAGCAACAACGACGATGAGGACCTGTCTCCGGAGCAGAAGATGGAGAGAGAAAGGGAACGGAGGATGGCCAACAACGCCAGGGAACGGCTGCGTGTCCGCGACATCAACGAGGCATTCAAGGAGCTGGGCAGGATGGTCCAGCTTCACCTGAAGAGTGACAAACCTCAGACCAAGTTACTGATCCTGCACCAGGCCGTGGCCGTCATCCTCAGTCTGGAGCAACAAGTCAGAGGTCAGTTTCAAGCAGAGACACGTCACTTCAGTAACTGATAATATACTGCAAACTACAGACTTATTCTAATTTTCAAAATAAATTTTGATAATGTATTGTATTTTATTTATTTATTCATGTACTTGTTTTTGGCAAAAATGGTGACTACACTGCTTGTTCTTTACTGTATGTTTATAATTGGAGAAACTACAGTGATAAGCCAAAAGATCTCTTCCCATTATGCTGGTGGTCCTTGGTGAGCTGCCAAAATAGCTGTGACCCAAGGAGGCACAGAGTCTCCATGACCACTGACACTGTCCTGCAGTGTCTGGCGCATCCTTTTTAAGTCAGGGTGGCCAATTCCCATCCTCGAGGGCCGCTGTCCTGCTTGTTTTCCAACTATCCCTGCCTGACCTGCTGCTGATTACCTGGCTCAGGTGTGTTCAGCCAGTCAGAAGCTGGAAGATACAGGGATAGTTGGAAAACAAACAGGACAGCGGCCCTCAAGGACTGGAATTGGCCACCCCCCGCTTTAAGTCCTGTAATTTGTGAGGTGGAGCCACTAGAACTTATTCCATCACATCCTCCAACACCCTGCTGCTGGTGCATGGCTTATCCCTCCTCAGACCACACTGATTCCAGACTTTACAGGATATGATAGGATAATATTCTAGTTCTTTCCTACAATATTTTGAGTGACTCCCAGAAAAGGCCAAAGCCAACAATTAAATGATTCTCTTGTTGAACATGCATACACTGTACCTGCTGGAAATCTCTTTGTTTTGTTCTTTTCTTGGAATTTGTTGCTAATAAGAAAAATAAAAATCAATACACATAGAAGTAGACTCTATGTTATTCATGCTTTTGAACAATGTATATTTGTTAGGTTTGAGGGAGGAGTCAGCCAGATGTCAGTGTAAATAACTTAACATATCCCCATCCAGCCCGGCTGCTGTTTATGGGGTTGAAAAGATTGAGTAGTTATTTACATTTAGCCTCTGTCTGAACCACTGGTAGCTTCATCTTTTCAAACTCATGCTAAACAGCCAAACTTTATTAAAACTCACAGATTTTTAAATTCTAGTAGGGTTAGAAGATTACAAAGAACCGGCTTTGTCACTCTGAAAAAAATGTTTTAAATTATCCATAACCTAGCTAGCTTCACATAGCTTCAATGAAAAGCAAGAACAGTAATGTCATAAAGTGTGGGGAAATTATTTTAATCCTAAAACTGCTTAAGCAACATTAAAGGTGAAAACCGAGGTTGAAGAGGTTAATGAGTTTGCCAGCACATGCAGTGCTCCAGGAGCTCCAGGAGAGGGCAGCACTGGCACCTGTTGGTTGATTGAACCAGGCTGAAGATTTTTAGCTTCAGTCGATTTCTTGATCCAGCTGAAAGAAATACTTATGTCAAAGGAGAAAAAGAGATCCATGAAAAAGCCAGGACACATTTTTTCACAGACAAAAAGAATAATAATCTCTGTCTTTTTCTTCCTTTCTCCAGAGCGAAACCTGAACCCTAAGGCAGCTTGTCTGAAGCGCCGTGAGGAGGAGAAGGTCACCGTGACATCAGATGGGACTCCCCTCTCGCTGGCTGCAGCACACCACGCTGCCGCCGCCATGGGCGACGGATCGAACCCCATGGGACAAATGTAAAACACAGCAACATCTCCTCCCCCCTGAATGGTCAGAAGATTTAAAGTATAAACTAATCTGCTGTTGTACCTTTAACTCACACCAAAGAATCCTCATTCAGAAACCAGTCCAGAAACTAATGTCATTTTATAACTTCTATTTATAGGGATTTTATTGGGAAAAGCTAAATCTATACAAATAATTTGGAAAAAAAAATCTAAGTTTTTTTTTGTTTGTTTGTTTTAATTTATTTAGTCGGTTATTTTCATGACCTTGTGAATACAAACCAATAAGATTTACATTTCATTCTTTTGGTGTAATCTTGATGAAACTCCAGATGCCACACAAACAAAAAAAAAAAACCCAGTCATATTGTCATTTCTCCCACTGTCACTCTAATGCCAAAAAAGGTTCAAACCTACATAGACAACATGTAGACCTAAAGCCATTTAGACAAAATTCCCTGATTAGTTAAATTTATCGCTGGACTCTGTCTGGCGGTGCTGACGAAGCTGTGGCTAGATTGGCAGTAAGTGTGATTTTGATGAGTGACTGTCTTTGCGCTGTTATTTCTCTTGTTGGCCCTACAACTTTGTTTTCTCGTAAAACTATCTATTTGTGTTTGCATGTGACTCCTGCAACAAGTTACTGTAAACACTGTAGTGTGGCGGGAAGGCCCTTGATTAGGAACAGGAGTGACTGAAGACAAAACCACACAGGGTTTCTTAACTGAAAAAAATCCCTTTTGACTTTATTTATACACTGCAGATTTGTGCAAATTTCAGGTCATTCCTCAGCACATTGAGGACTGCAAGGAAGCGGACTAAAAGCACTATCTGTGCTGTAAGGAAGCTTCCTCCTGCATTTAGCATAGCTGTGTGACATAAATAAATATCTATGATTAGTCTGTGAATGTAGTAAAGCTTCTTTTTTTGTAAAACAATTTCTAAAATATACATTCTCTTAAAGGGTTGTGCAATGTTTTGGTGCATGATTATTTTCCAAATCAAATATTAGATTTTCCATTTTTTCCAGGCAGCCACTGGTTTCAGTTCATTTATATGAAAATAATGTTCAACAGCTTGTAGGAAACCTTGTTTTGTTAGAGTTGCACTAACTTTACAGATAATGCAAGAACTTTCCACTGTCCACAAGGTTTTAAAGTCATTTGTTCATTTGAGTGTGTGTGTGTGTGTGTGTGTGTGGCCTTGTTTTTCAATACTTGCGCAGCCCAAAATCCATGAGTTACTATCTTTGTAGGGACCGGAGGCTGGTCCCCACAACATAGTTTGTCAAATTTTATGAAAATGATGGGATGTAAGGTTAAAGCAAGTATAGGCTTTGGTTAAGTATTAGAGTAAGGGTTAAGGTTAGGCAAGTAGAAGTTCTGGTTAAGATTAGGGTAAGTGTCCTGGGAATTAATGTTTATGTAGGGACCCCATAAGTGACAAAAACAAGGATGCGTGTGTGTGCAATGCACATGTTTCTTTCTAAGTCTCTCTTCCGTTATTTCTTTCTTCTTTCCCTCCAGGTCTAAGGTGCCAGAGTTCATCAAGATGATGAGTGACCACTTCCTCTGACAGCGTTTCCATGACAACCTGGCAATCGATCAAACTTTCAGCCTGACCAATCAGATTTTTCTCTCCTTCCATCTGTCGTCTCTGATCCTCCTTTTCGCCTTTGTCTCCTTCTTCGAGAACACAAACTGCAGAGTCACAGTAGTTGCTTTTGACACTTTGCATCTCCAGCTGAAGTGAACTGGATGCTACTTTGTGGAGACGTTAAAATGGCCGTTGTAACATGCTACAAAGTGGCAGTTTGTGGACGCGTTGGACACAAAGTGACAGCAATGGAAAAAAGTCTTTGGAATCACAACATCCAAGAAATTCTACTTGTATTACTTGTTTTATTAAGTGCAACTGGATGTGGGCAGGGAGGAGGGTTGGGGTTGGAGAGGGTCGTCTAGAACAGAACAAAACATATCACAAAATGTTTAGAGTTTTTTAACAAAAAAGCAACACTGCGCAGCTGTTGGTGAAGGCAGCTTCAGCGCATCTCTGACTGAATGGCAATCTAATGCCACACTGTGGATGAAGCTGTGCCTGATCTCCTCTTGGATGCAAACCAGTCAGACAGAAAAAGAATAGGACATTTTCAGTATCACAGAAGTAGGCTGCACTCTCATAATGTACATCTGCTTACAAACCACAATCTTCAATTATAACTTAAAATGAAGAGATTAGGAAGCTACATTAAATTTGTTGCAACCCTACTGCTTTTCAGAGATACTTGAATTGCTAAGTGATCAAAAATCACAAATGCTTTTTACAGGAAGTATCATGGAAAGAAATGTGGCTAAACAAGAAAAAAGGGGCAACAGGTTCTTCCTTTTCTAATGCATTACCTCTTCAATTGCAAGTGGGAAACAGACCTGAACATCTATGTTTATGAATCTTTATTTCTGTTTCTTGCTAATAGCCACGTTGACTTTCTTCAAACTGCAAAATTGTACAAACTGATATGTTTTCAGTGGCCCGTGTGTACTGTATCTACTGGGAGGACAAGAGCACTAAGAGACTCAATCATTAAAACAATTAATTAGTCAATCGGTGAGAGACTCCAGACTCACGACTGTGGCGCATAGACTGTTGAGGGTAAAGGTATTCAAAAAGAAACACAGGAAGGAAGATTCATGCAGTACTGAAAACTGTACTTCTAAATGAAGCAGAAAAGCAAGACTTTTTTTCTGACATCTTAATCTGAGATTGTTGTTAAGGATTTGTAGATGCAAAAATGACAACTAAAGATCTCTAGCAAGCATCCCCAGTCAGATTCCACTGTTGGATAATCGACAGCATGGGTAGAGCAAGCAGAGTTTGAGACTGGTGTCCACGTTGTACCTAAAATCGAAGGGTTAGAGATGGTTAAGACAATTAACAGATGACAGAAAAGATGCATGAGCGGATGAGAGGGAAATATGTTTGGCCTGAGCACTAAAGTGAATTCTATTCCATGTTTAGCACATTCCCTGAATTATGATCTCTCGACTTGAATTGAGTGCTTCTGATGTCCTGAAGGCCTGAACTAATGTAGGTGGGGATGTCATGGAGAGGGAAACAAGGATTGAGGTGGACTAACATTCTGAGGAGCTAGAACTCCAGGGAGGAAAGAAAAATGGGGAATCCGGAGGTCTAAATGATGATGCCGCTGCAGGAGAAGCAAGGGAACAATCATCGGGGTGAGGGGTGTAGTCTTTTCTTCAGGGGGCCAAGCAGCAGTAGTCAAAGCATTCCTGTATTGGATTATATAGATTCCCTCATTTCCTGGTTTAGTGTCTTGCCAGTTGTAACCCTAAACCTCTAACCCAAGCTTCAGACTTCTCTCCTAGCCCAAGTACCAACCTTGGAGGGCTTTCTGATTGGCACTTGGTATACTGTATGGCAAAATAATGGACAAGTCTCATTAGAGTGCCTCTAATTCCACTGGCCTTGCAGTCTTTTGCCTCTTGGTGTTGTGTAACATAACCCCTACCTTTCTGGTGCAATACACTGCATTGTAAATACTCAAATCTGATCAAGAACTCTGCAGCTCTGATCGAATTCCCATATAGAAGAGGACCAGTTTGACTGGTTGGAACAGGAAACCCACATGTTACTAGTGGATAGGTGTTGGGGGGGGAAACGTTTTCATTTGTCACTGCAGTTTTAGAATTGGGTGACTGTTCCCAAGTAGCTAGACAAGTCAGGCTCACAGCTGATTAAAAAGAACAGTTGCTGTTCCTGTGTGAAGAATGTTTCAGTTTCAGACTCTGGCTGAGTAGCAACCAGACGTGCCTGCTGCAGGCCACTGTCGGGCTCCTTCATTTTGATTATCTTGGTGTGCTCGGTATGTTTACATTCAGAATGTTTGCTACCAATAGCCTTATTTTATTCAACTAAATCCAATGCCAATAATATCCCCTCAGATTTTTAGCATTACCTCTTGCATTTAGACATACACAGGTTCCTTGGCTAGATGTTCTGTGACTGTCATTGTTGACTTGGGAGTAATACAAGTTTGAGAAATAAAATGAGAGAATGAGGACAAGGTGGGTTTGGCATGACTGCAATTTGGTGGAAACTGGAATAAATAACTCAGAATTGGAGAGGTTTGTAAGGAAACCTTAGCACTGGTTGTAAATCTGCAAGTATGTCCATTATTTTCTGGTGTCAATTCGAAAGCCCTCATTCATCTGCTCCCCTCTTTGAACCCTTCTCAGTCTCAGTCTGTTTAAACCCCAGTCCCAGTGCTGTCTTATCTGCTGACCCTAGCCTTATGAGCCCTAAACAGAAGTCCTAGCCCCTCTCCCCAGCCTCTTGCCCCACCTAAGCAGTCCCGCAGATGCAATTTGAACATTCACACTTCTACCAATGTGCCTTTTTAGAGTTCATATCATTCGAGTTGCCAGAGGAGGACATTTACCTGGTATTTTAACAGGATGCAAGCTTAGGGAAACCTGTTCTTAGTCGTTAGGTTCTATGCAGTCAGGTTTTTTACCAGACCTGGGAATTTAAAAAAAGGTAAAAAAAAGGAAAAAAAAAAGTATTTTTTGGATAAAAAAAAAGAAAACTAAACTGTATTAAATGTACTGTATGCTTATATGTAAGTAGACAGCGTGTTCTGGCTGTGAGCAATGGGACAGAAAGACAAGCCCCATCCCAGTCCTCTCTGTCCCCTAGAGTCCTCCATAACCCCCTCCCCCAACCTCACTTACCTGTTCCAAGTCCCAGCCCTGTTTCCATGGTGAACAACGCGTCTCTTCTTGTATTATAGCTCATTAGCTTTTTATCAATATTTGACCGGCTTGTCTGTAAGCCAATGTAGTCTTCAGTACAAAGTGTGTGGTTGTATGTTGTAAAACAGATTTTCTGTTTTTTCCTCGCTCTCTTTTTTAAGAAGAATCTTTTCCCTTATTACTTTTAATTTGTCTTTTCTGGTTTACATGTCTATTACATAAAATGAAAAAAAAAACAAAAAAAAAAAACACAAATTTAAAAAAAGGACAAAAAGTCACCATCTGACAGGATTGTTCTCTGTCGGTGGCCATTTTGACGCAGTTAAAATCCTACCCAATCAACAGGAAGGCACAGAACTGGGAAAAAAAATCTATTTGAATAAATCAGTCTATATATAAATGTACAAAAAATATATACAATATATAAGGAGGGTGCCATTTTCTGTTATTTTTTATTTTCTGTTGCCAAGGAGTGTTTGCTTGGGGAGGAATTCTTTTCTCAGAGACTGAACTGGCAGAAGTTGGCGAGGCCCCTCAGTGTTATAAATTTTCAGCTGACTTTGTTGGGTTCTCTGTTGTTGCCATGAAAACACCCTCTGACTAGTACGGCACCCTGCGCAGGACAAAATGGACTGGAATTTTCATCAGCTCCATTCACTGCGATCTGTGCAAGGCAACAACACACAGACATTTGTAAATTGTATGCAACAAAATGGCAAACTTTACCATTATTTTGAAATTGTGTATGTAAAAGTTATATTTTTACATGTAGACTGTTGTTATTTTGTGTTTTAGAACTATGTTGTATTGTTTCTTTCTTTCTCTTTTTTTGTTCAAAGATGAAAAGGTAAAATTCAGTGTGTGTTGAAAAATGTGTCACATTGAAAGTGTAGTGAGTTCAGAAGTTCCAAAATCTTTTTTTTTTCTTTTTTTCAACATTTGTTTATATCTGTAAGGAACATTTTTGAGGGTTCAAGGGAAGAATCATAAATCATAAAAGATATATGATATTTGTTTTGCTCTCCATGCCTCATGACATTACCATTTTAATTGTATTTTTGCTCAGAAATGTGTAAATAGTCATAAAACATTTTCTGTGGGGTGAGGACTTGCCAGTGAGGGGCGATGATGACGAACTTGTTTTGAGTTTTAGTGAGGTTGTGTACGTCTAGTTACAGTAGCCAGGTGCCAACTTTTAGTTTCAGTCAGTGGTGCTTAGTACTGTATGTGGTTTTGGTTGCCAACCATCTGAAGTGTAAGTCAAATTATTGTCTTTGCTTGCACCAAGAATCACTCCTGTTAGAGCTGACATGAGCCATTTTTGGGGCCATGTGAAGGATTTAATTTGATGTAATAAAATAATTCACAAAAAAAAACTTGTGAAGCTTAAAAATCACTGTTATTTAAAATGCTGTTCCTACAAAACAGGCAAATAATATGAAGATAATAAAAACACAGTATACTGGAACTCTAAAATATGCTACCTTATGTGTAATTGCTTAAATTATGACAAAAACTGAAGAGAGGCACCAAAAGATCGTCCATATACAGTATTCAGATCACTTTGGCGCCCCCTTGTGGCTCCGGTCGGCTCGAAATCCTGTGCATTTCTTTTCTTAAAAATAATTGTCAATAAAGGACCCTCACCAACTGATTCAATATTAATATATGAAATTTTTGAAGATTGGAATGTTGCTTATATAAAAAGCAGATCATCAGCAAACAATCTTATCAGCTATTTCCCCAAAAAATATCAGATTGTGTTCAAGGCAGTGTCAGTCTTTTGTTTTGTGTTTGCCATAAAAATTGAGCTTCGTCAAAAGTAAAAACTGCTTTGAATTGGACCTAGGTTAAACACTAGGATTGACTCTGTCAAAGTGCTAAATGTATTTTTTAAGTAATGTTATTTTTACAATGCTTCATTTCATGTTTTCTCTTTGTTGTATAATCAAGTCATCTCCTGAATTACAATATCTTCATTTTTATGTTACCCCTGTTGTTTCTATTAGTCAAAATGTTAACTTTTTTCTTTTCTCTCCTTGCTGTACATATACACCTCATTTCTCTTTTTTCGGTGACTGTGCCATGAGCTTTGTAATCTGTTACTCTGTACCAGTTTTACTGCAATAATGAGTTGAA